ATTCATGTAGGGTCTTATAAATGTGGCCGCGAGCAAGCGACAACTTCAATCGGTTCACGTACCTCGACTGCTGGTGCCGTAAGCATTACAGGTGAAGTTTTTTTTCTGTACTCAATACGGTGGATTTACCTCCTGACAAAATTGGGTTAAGATTCACGGTTATTGTTACATTAATAGATACAAGTGCGATAAGTTTTTGCCCATTTCTTTTCTTTAAATGTTATTACACGGCTTCCCAAAAACTTGAACCGATAAATTGTACAATGCTGCCTAAAGAGAACCGTGGTAAGCATGTGCGGTACCTTTTGAATTCTTAAAATGAATTTATCTATAATCAAATAGCTTCTGGTATAATTATTTATTACATAAACAACTCTCAGAATGTATAAATCAATGTAAAAAGGGTTTTAATTTCAATGCATTCACAATGAACTCTCCATAAGCGAATAAGCTACTACAAACTTTGAAACCCGTCTACCTCTGCCTATATTTATTTTTGATTGTTAATATAATTATTCATCTTTCACTCATTATAATCGGCTGAACCTTACGGAGAAATCTAGGCTACATCATTATCAGTCAGGAGAACGGTGAATATATTCACACATTGATTGGTATGATTGCGACAGTGCGATATTTATGTTACAAATTTCTTTCCCGGAAGTTTTCTGAAATGTATGTACACTTATAATATATATATATTTACCTGTGTGAGTCATAGGGTTTTCCTTGCCTACGGCTGGCGTCCACGTTTCCCTGGCAGAAGATTCGACAAATTGCGTGATGATCAAGAAAAGGTAGGTTTTATCATCTGAACGTTGTTGACATTATATGTTTTGTTTGCTGATAGTTTAGCTAAGTGAATGTAAATTCTGATGTAGTTAATAAGATCTGGCTACATGTAGTCGTCAGTTATCTGTACAGTGTATCAGCTTATATTAACCAATCTTGATATGCACTATATGTGTACCTTATATGTAGCATAATCTTAATTCAAACCCATATTAAATGAAATTATGGCAAAATGTGAACAAAAGAAAGAGTCTTGAAAATGTACAATGAAGACAGGACAAAGCGTTCCAGAAGGATAAGTAAATCTTGGTCAATCCACGTAAGTAATGTCAAATTCCCAAAATGAGAACAAGATAAACAACCACGCTATCCATATGTATACTAACAAACAATACGCACGTGAAACTTTATATCGCACAAATAATTAAAATATTCGAGCATTCTGATGACTGTAAAACCATCCATTAACTGGAATATTAATTTCTAGATACATATTGAATCTGTTGAAAACTTTTCCATGAAGTTGGTGTTACTTTCAGAATGAATTAAATCCGTTTTGAATATTATCATTATCACAAACGAATTAGCAGCTTGAAATCTAAAATAAGAACCAAAGACATGTCAGTGTTCCTTAGTCCTTTACGTGACAGGTATAAAATTTTCTTGTAAAGAATTATATAATAACGTGATAATTGTCTGCAGACATTTTTCTTTTCTCACATACCTAAAGAGATAGGGTTGCTTTCCATTGAAGGGAACCTATGTCACTTCGGGTGAAGACCCGAGGTGAAGGGTTTGATTACCGAGTCGGACCGGATTGTATTTCTGAGGAAAAAACTTGTATGAAATGATATGTATCACGAATACATGTGTTTATACACTCACGTATGATCCTTGTATGCACCTGTTTAGATATGTGGGTATGTTCTGTGTACACTTCATACATATATACACACCAAACATGTAAATATCTAGACATATAAAGACACCGGTTCAACATGAACCTTGTATGTAACTGTATTCGGTATGTGTGTACAATACATTTACATGATGCTGTATAATTGTATGCACATTGTATTAAATACACGTGCCTATTGGTATCCATATTTCCATGTACATTAACATGTATGCACCTTTGAATGTATGTGCATCTTACAGCATGCTATTATTTGCATGTACCTGTTAGTGTATGTACCCGAGAACGCAATAGCTCAGTAGGTACAGCATCTAACTTTGAAACTTCGGGCCAGGATCAAAGTGTGTGGTTCGAAACCTATCCAGGTTACAGGCTGGTGTTTCTTAGCTGACCGCTCTTTGTTGACATTGCGTTCATTAGCAAAAACACTTTAATCACATCGCCTTCGATAGCATGCGATAGGTTTCAAGCATGCTGTTCTATGTGGTTAGACACCAAGTTCTAAAAAAAGATCCCCTCTCTAAATCACCTCAATTTTTTACGTATCGGTAAAAACTATGATACAAAACAAACTAGGCGGTACCCTTTATGATAGTATGTTAATATATTTCCATGTTATGTGTACTTGTATGTACGTATATCTAAATGTTTGTGTACCCGTATGTGCGTATATCTAAATGTTTGTGTACCCGTATGTGCGTATATCTAAATGTTTGTGTACCCGTATGTACGTATATCTAAATGATTGTGTACCCGTATGTACGTATATCTAAATGTTTGTGTACCCGTATGTACGTATATCTAAATGATTGTGTACCCGTATGTACGTATATCTAAATGTTTGTGTACCCGTATGTACGTATATCTAAATGTTTGTGTACCCGTATGTGCGTATATCTAAATGTTTGTGTACCCGTATGTACGTATATCTAAATGTTTGTGTACCCGTATGTACGTATATCTAAATGTTTGTGTACCCGTATGTACGTATATCTAAATGTTTGTGTACCTGTATGTAAGTATATTTAAATGTTTGTGTACCTGTATGTACATATATAGCAAATACATAGTCAGCTGTATTTTGGCGAGGGTGAAGAAAGAAGAGCCTTTTGTTTTTCTCTCCCGAGCATGTACATATATTCACGTGTTTGTGACCTACATGTACACATATCTTAACGTTTGTGTACAAGCATATACATTTTGTACATTTATTTTCACGTTTGTGTACCTGAATGTAAATACATTAAATGCATCTTCATGAACTCTAGTGGAAAATATTTTTAAATATGATTATATTCACTCTTCGAAAACATTAGAGGTAAATAAATCTGCCATGTATTAATTGCTATACATAAGTTCCTTATTTTTTATTAGTCCGAAGGCTTCTGGCTATCTATCCGCCATTTTGGATATGTAGAACCCTTTGAATTAGATATTATGAAGATTTCCCCGGCTATTCAAACTACAATACCTGTTCTTTTGCCTTGGTTTTGAGCACGTCTTTCCCTGGCAGATATCCTTGTAGAGCGAAAGTTAGCTCCATAAGGCTGATCAGTGCCGCTCCCTTCATATAACAAATTGATCCTTTGTAACTCTATCTTCCGTGGAGACTTTTTTGTATATGTAAGTAAATGAATAAATAAATAGACAACGCACATAACTGTACATACTAAGTGAATATGCATTTACAAATGTATATTAGTTATATAAGTAACAGTTATACAACCGCGACACATAAACAAATTAAATGGCAGCCCAGAAAGGCAACAGAGCTGACAAATGAATTCTCATTACTGGCCAGAAGTACATTACTATATATACTGTAACTCAAAGTCAAACATGTCACCTCTCGTCTATAACGTTATTGTACGACTTCTGTCTTCATATACACAACGACTGCATCTAGGTGAATGTGTTTCGAGAACTGAAATTCTAACAACATATAAAGACATGTTTACTATTAGTCCAAAGTAGGAGATATGTCATTCTTTCTATTGATCGACGGCGATACAGAGCTTTATCGCGAATAAATAGTCACGGCCCTTCAGACTGACAGCAAATAAGATGATTTATACCAGATATTAAATCATTAGAGGTATGGCTTTCTGTTTGTGTCCTTATATCGCTTACGACACAAAGATACATCAGAGATAAATAGTCAGAGCCCTTGGTGCAACATAACTTCTTCTGATGTGTTCCCAGTCTACAATACCATGTCGGTTTAATTCAAGTGGTCGATAGGAAAAACAACAAGAGCGAATCGCCTTGTAAACAAACCCTTTTTCTTACATAACATATTTAAGATGAGGGCAAACTAATATTTGAGAACTTAAAACTTTAAGTTGTATTTTTATCGTCTACATCTTCCTCAGAAATCTAAGTCAAATCAAATAAATGTCAGGTTTCTGAAGTAAGAACCTGGGTACATTACAACACAAACAGATAATCAGCGTGCATATTCATGTCAGAACAGTAGACGTTATGAAGAATATCAAATAATTCAGCCTCACACAGTAATCGCTAAAGGAAATATCTTCATTTTCTCCGCTAATGTCTCCATGATTACCATAAATCTTTCGGAACAGTCTTTATGCTCTTGTATCTGTCGACACCTGAAGTTTATTGTGACGGAATCTGTGGTTTCGGCAGAAAGACCCTTAACAAAACCAATATTTAATAAGTTCACAATAGAGAGGTTGGCCACATCACGTGTAACATCCAGCATGACCGGTGTATATAGAAGAGTTTAAAATTAAGTCATTATTACTGGTCGTTTTAGGATGTTTGATAAAATGCAGAAATCACAAAGAAAATAACAAATTGTGCAAGGGAGTACGACGTTAGTCGCCTCTTTTCCTGAATTGGCACCTGGTGTGATGTAGGATATATTGACTCCTGGGGCGATGGAATGATATATGGTGTATGTGTCTAATAGTTCCGTTTAAAGTGAAAATTAGATACGGTACCAGAATACATTACTTTTACCTTAATAGACTGTGAAACAACTTAGGGTTTGGATTTATAATATAAGTGGATACATGTATATTTATAACTGAAGTAGATCAATGGAAAAAAATTAATCTAGTTTTCAATTCAGGTCAAGATGTACACACACTTTGGCAATCACACAAGAGAACTGCGGGTGTCAACAAGGAAACGCAGTCTACAATAATTTATCAATATTTTCAAATCATTTTATCATCTTTATATTTTCGTCTCATTTTCACTTAATCTTTGATTGTGTTTCCAGCTTATTGCATTCAACAAACCAGTGACTATTTAAAACCCGGAAATGGTAGAGGGCTTCCATCTTCCGGAATGTATTTCTGCTATACCATTACGTGCTCTGGGGTCATCAACACGACAACTTCTTGCCATTTACCTCGACCCGCCATCTTGTACCACAAACAATGATGGCATCACTAACGATGCATCTGGCTTAGCAGAACTTGCCGGCTTCGATTATCCGACTATACGATATTTTGAATCCAAAACGAGTAAAACCATCGAACTGTTGAACATGTGGCGGTACCGACAAAACGGAACTCTGGGTAATCTCGTAGGATATCTCCTGCAGCTCGAGAGATTCGATTGTCTGACAGATATCTGGCACAAACTCTGTAAGTAACATTACTTATAATAAGTTCCCTAATGCTATTTGTATGTCGTGACTTGTTATTCTGTATAAGGGCACAAACATCCGGATGTTTCCACTAATGGTTCACCCTCGCTATGGCTACAGTCCTTATAACAGATACGATTAATGTCTGTTTAAGACTTCTACAAGTTGTCGGTGACTCATCAATCAAATGAAAGACATTAGCAAAAGTGTGTATTTTTGTTTTAGTGTCTGACGGTAACAAGTGGGCAAACCGGTCACGTGCTCGTGACTCCTCGTGTAAGTATTTATAATGATCAAAAATCATGTTGCTAAATGTAGAAACACAATGCTTGTCATCAGAATTGATAATAAATATGAAATAACTCGGTAATTTTTGCAAAACTCACTTAATACCATGTATTTATAGTCACCAAGTCTGAATCCATTGTAAGGAACGTAACGTGTATACTTGTGTATTACAACTTTAGGTAAACTGAGATCAATGAATACATATTTACTACACAAATATATAGAGAATATGTAGGTGGTATTGAGTCAATTTAGTGGATTACCGCTCATGATAACTTACTTACTACGAAATAGATAAGATAATGCAGAAGTACACGAAAAATTGTTATTTTTTCAAAAAAGTATAAATATTTACCAGGCTCTGTGGAGAGTATGACCGGAAGCGGCACATCGACTGCATCATCCCTTGATGACGTCAGCGCGTCGGTCGACTCAGACAGCAGCTCTAACTTCTTGACTGTCGACGATGGTAAGGGATCTCAGAACTCTCTAGCATGGCACTACAAAGAATGCTTAAGCCCCTAATGAAATAATTATTCTACGTTCGTTTGTTTTTGGTAATGTCATTCACCAGTAATCAAAATAACAATGTATATTTTAAAGGCATATTTTATCTCCAAATATAATCGAATCTATTTGCCTCCATCTCACGAGTATACATGGAGAACGACAGTGCCAAAAGTTGTCAATATTGTAAAATAATAAATTAATATCCATTTTATTTTCTAAAGTGAACGCAGGGCAAGTCCAAAAGTATTCCGCATGTGTCTGTTGTGCTGACGGCGACATAGGCCTTGCACGTGACATAGTCAGGGAGTTGTCGAAAACTACTAAACTGTTTGTCCCTCAAGATCATCTAGTAGGCGGGGCATACGAATTCGAGGCAACAGCGGAAGTGATAGAGGACAGGTAACGTCTTGTTTACAAAGATCCAATTTACCTTGACAAGATATCATCATATGCTAATTTATATTTTTTCGTCAATTAAACTTCTGAAACTCGTGTAATGAAACGTTATATTCTACTTAAATAAAAATATTAGCATTACTTCGCAAATTTAAATCGTTAGTTATCAGTGATTGAAACTTCAATATCACGGTCGCTGCTTGTGTAGCTATTGTAATGAATATGAATGCCTGACAGGTGTCACCTCTCTTCACAATAAATTGTAAAACCAAAGCTTGTAGCTAGGTTTTGGTTACTAATATAACAAGTATCATACATCACCAGCGGATATCACACTAACATCATTTAAGTTAGGGAAATATGTTGGCAAACCACTTGGTAGCATTTTTCAATATCTAATTTAATCCTGATCTGTGATACATTATTACACAGCCATATACCGCAATTTCAGTTAATGGAATATCGAAAACAAAAACGAGAAACAGATAACTTGGGACGAACAGACTGACGGACAAAGGGAAACCTATAGTTCTCCGTCGAACTGACTGAAAATGCTGTCAACCATAATATTTAAGCTAAAAGTGTATGTCATTTCGTTAAGTAACATGAATTAACGGCTGTGACATGATTGGGGATTGAGAAAAATATCAGTAAGACAATCACAATCCAGGACTTTTACCATTGGTCACTAGATGTTTTCAACGATTTATCAACGTAACGTGTGCTCCCACAAACCAAATGAAATGAAGGTATTGGCCTCTTAAACTCGAAATGATTTTAGAAATGGCATGTTTGAAGTTATGCTCGTTGCCTTTACTGGTTGGGTGAAATAAGACACAAACTTTCCATTTATCTACATGGCGCCAATCTCTTGATAATTAAAGTATGAGCCAGACGTTTTCAATAAGTACCCAGTCTTTATCAAACTTTCTATGTCATCAACATAAATGCCAGTCAAACCATTTTACGTGTGAACGATAATTGTGTTATACTGTAACAGCGTGCACGAGGAACGATAACTCTCCTTGACGCATGTCAACAAGAGTGATCCTCCTTAAGGACGTTTCTAGGAAGACGATTATTTATTTATTTATTTATTTATCTTTTTTAAATGTTTGTAAGAAACATACTCTAATTAATCTCCCGTTGTAACTTTTCTATCTATGCTAATCCGTGTTGATGATTAATCAGCCTCCACTCGAAATATTCCCCTTCTGTTCAGTAATATGTTCATGATACCTGTAAATTCCCCGTCATTGAGATGAGCTCTGGCAAAGACTCGACGTCAGTTCTAAACGTTAAAATTGGAATGCTTTGTTTTGTAGATGCGATGGTCGCCTGGTGGTGCTATTATCCAATCATTATACCAATTCGCCGGCCTGTTACTTCGCTACTCAGTTCGCCAAGACGCTGGATCCCGGTAAGTAACATAACCCTGTTTTTTCAGTGCTACACCAGGGTCACAAATAGTCAATTTAGTACATTGTTATTGTGATGTTTCGTCTGCTTTATAAAATGTGTAAACAAAGATACATGATAAGTCCTTTCGTCTAAAATTTTCTTGTGATGATCTTGTGAAAGGTTTGAACTTAGAAAGTATATTAAAAGCAAAAATCTATATGTTGCTGCACAACTTAATCTGGTGTATGGGTCAAAATAACAGAAATAGCAGAAAATAATTTATTTTCACATATTATCCTTATTTTGTTCCTGAATAATAGAAATTTCCAGTTATTTTCGCGGCAACATTTTTTCAAATATTTTATGTCTTTCATTACAATAAAAGGGTATGCTACTTGGATATTAAGAAAAAATATTGCGTTTTCAACAAGCTTTAAACTATATAGCAACCAAAAAATGAAAATGTTCCAAAATGACCTAAATCCTTTATTTGACTTTATTCTAATAATAACCTTGTTTAAATACTTTATGTTTGGATAGAGAAATTGTCTATGATACTTTTTTTCATGATTAAAAAGGAGGCGGTCATTGTGCTTTATTTTTTGCAATTTCCATCCAAATAGACAGTTTTTCCAAGATACAAAAAAAAACCTAACTTTTTATTTTCGTATCGTAAAATCCGAGAAAGTGATCCACCAAGACGAAATTCTGTGATTTGTGGTGATAATTCATGCAAAATTTTGTTAAAATCTATCCAAGACTTCCAGATTTATACTCAAGAGAAATACCTTAGCAACCAGAAAACGTTAAAATTGTTGACACTATTAACCGAACCACGCCGTCAACTACGTCGTCAAAGATAATAGTCCGCAAGCGCAATTTCTTCAAATTGTCATAAAAATCGATCTTTTTAAGTCTGCAAGTACAACCCTAAATATCAAAGTGTATAAGACAACCAAAGTCCAAGGTATTGTGTTGGAATTATATTGAAATATGTCTTACCTCCGGTCAAAACATCAGAGGAGTACATCCTCAAGTTAGAAATATATGAACATATATAGGCCGTCCATTGATTTATAGAGAAGTTTGCGGTGACGTTTACAAATTATCCATTTCTCTTTTTCTCATTCAAAGCACTTAACCAAAAGTAAGAGATATTCATCTTTATGGTATTAATACCAATCAAGTCGACAATAGCTATGAAGCTGAAATATTTCTCATACAAATAATGGCATTCTTCCTTTCAGACGCTCGTAGACGGCGGATCATACCAATTGTGACGCAGGAGGGTGTGACTTTCCCGCGAATTTTACGTGGTATCAGCACTATCAAACACTACAGGTGTACTTCCATGACGTCATTCCTAGCTCAGATCATTGTTTCACTTTCATACCAATCTCCAACGAACAATGGAAGTGAAATCTCGAAAACTTCTGCCCACCAAAACAGAAATAATTCAATCATGTCTTTCAGAAGTTCCGTCGAATGTCCTGGAAAATCTTCCGATGTGACAACATCCATGGTTCCATCTTCTGATTGTAACCAAACGTCATGTTCAGCTGCAGACATTTCAAATGTTCCATTGGCATCTATGGTATCGAATGAATCTCGAATAACAAACGATCGGAGTTCTTTGTATTCGTCACTGGATCCTAGTTTGGTGTCGCCAGGGATACATCTTGAGCGTGTATCGTGTCACACCAAAATACTCAACGTTAATCCACTTCCCTTGAATATAAATGGACAGTCTGAAGTATGCAGAGAAAATTATTCTGCATATTCAATGAACAGTTCAAATGAAAGAATTTTAAGTCGGCCAGGGTATAATGACCTTTCACCCGTACGTGATGACGTGACAAGACAGTTACAGGCGACGCCTGATGGTGTTCGTCCCCAGTTAGATTTTAACATCGGCATGAGCCAAATGTCTGATGTTAACGTCGAGAAAATCGGCATGAAGGCCCAAAACAGTGGCAAAAATAAGTCCACTATATTTGCTACTTTGAAACGGGTTTTCACGCGTTCTCCGTCAAACAAAAATATGGAAAAATCTGACAATTCAAAAACCAACGCAGTCAACAATTATCATGTGATGAATACGTGCAACGTATCTCAGCCCTTGGAGTATAAGTTAGAAGAAGCAGGCTATAAGAGATCGGTGTTTCAGCACATGACGGCGCCCTCGCCGGGAGACAGAAGCACAGAGAGTGACGTGATATTTGTGTAAACGAAACGCTAAAAATCTACAACCATTTCAGATCCCAGCACATCATATACGATATAGAAGAGGAGTTTGGCTAAAATATTTGCCTATCGCAAAGATCAACGAGAATCTTAAAGCCCAACCATGTTAGTGCAATGGGATTCGTACGACGTTGCTGTGATGAATCACACCCTCCTTTTTAAGGGAAAATCAGATTTAAATGATTAAGTGTTACTGTCTTACATATCTAAGTTTTCTTTTAAAAAAAATAAAAATAATAAAAAAAAAAAAAAGATTTATGCGATCGTTGTATTCATTCTTGGCCTTTTTGTGATAATTCATGTGTGACGTAATACCCTCTGGTATTAAGGGTTATTGATATCAAAATCTTAAAATTAAGTTTAACATAGCAAACGAACAAGCGAGCCACATAGAATTAGGCATATGAGCGGCGCAGTGATTATCCGTAAATGCTTGGTAAAAGAATCGACTTGGTACACTGTCAACATTAATTGTTTTTTCTGCCTTTTTTTTAACCCTGTCATTTTACTCCAAAAAGTCATAATTGGGACATAATTGCAACTTTGTTGTGTCTTAAATGGTGGACATAGACGTTATAACCGTAAAAATTCAAATTTGATTGAAAATATTTTTTGACCTATATGATCAGGAGGATAAAGAAAACCACACCATTTAGCATTTGTAAAAATGTCGACGTTTCTTCAGGGTTTTTTTAGTTTTGTCTAGTTATCAGATGACTTTGCCATAGCTATAAATTTGAAATTAAACATCCATACAACTTCATAGCCTAATTAAAAATTACGTTCTTACCCAAACACTCACTATCTATGATAATTTTTTTGACTTACTGTAATCCTCAACACAAGTGACCCCACTCCCAGCATGACATAACATGCTCAGTGATCGTGTGAACAAAGAAATGGCAAAATTGTCATTACTGCCGATTTTCATGGATAAGTTTTAATTTAGCTTCACCGTTTAATATGGCCTTATTGACATGTTTGCCAGTCGGCAATCTGCCATTGGTGGCAGGGATAATAAAAACAAGTCCTGAGCATTAATGACCTCCAATCGTCCATTTGTTTTTAAAAGAATTTTATCATTTGATAAAAATAGCGGTGATATCTATACTAAATATACTACATTAAACTATCGTAATAATTCCTGTATTTTATATACTAAATCATAAGTTCATGTATTATTAACATTTTACATATCATAATTGGTTCTGATCCGATTTATCGACATGAAATTTCATAAATGAACTTTGAAACTGTGCACGTTTAGGCAACCATTCTAAATAATTAAATTAAAATGTTGTTAATACTAACTAGTAAAAAATAACATACATATATATATATATATATATATAGTGTTAACCTACTTCCTCGTCTTTGTCATGTGACCCAGACAACAATACTGTTGCTGCCATATTAACTTCCGTACATTTCGCGAAAAGTCCTATTTAAAACCCCATTTCCGACATTTCTACTTCAAAATAAGAGATCAGCAAAATATATTTGACACTCATTATTTCCGGTTCAACTGATAATTTGCACGGAAGTTAACATGCTATAAAAACAATATTTCCTTTTAAGGAAATTTTGTGATTGTACATGTGATAACAATGCTATACCGTGTACATGTATACATGAATGTGAAAAACAAATATTCGCCCTCACGAACAACTCAGATCTATATGACACATAGTAAAAGCTTGCCAGAAATCCTGAGGAGAAAGACAAACGCCGACATCTCGTCCTTCATTGTGGTAAGGTTTACCGCCGACTTAGGAAGGTGACGAGGAAGAGGCTGCTGTCCTTTCATCTGATTTCCTCCTCCTTGGTGTTTTTCTCTCCGCTTCTGTCTCATTCTCAAATTAAGTATACGCCGGCAACTGTTCTTGCGTGATACCCGCATTGGGAAGTTGCACTTTAGCAGGTTCTACGTGTTTCGGTGCCTTTTCATCACTGTCTCCGTCTATATCGTCCTTTTCTTCACTTCCTTTTCCTTCTTAGTCAGAAGCTTGCCTCTACAGGAAGGGTTCATTGTACACGTCCAGGTACTATCGTTGAAATCCATCGTTCCTTTCCTGTGGGTTCCTTTGCAACGAAGAAACTGTCTCACCTCCGCCAACCGATTTAATGATTTTTCCAGCATTTCCATTAGCATCATCATCATCATCATCATCATCAAAAAGCTCTTTATCGGCAGAATTTCCCAGCGTGTCATAGACTTCACAGGTTCGCCAACATCGACAAGCTGTATCTGAAAAAAACCACCTTATTTTGTATTTTACACAAAACCTCGCACGGTATCGATTTCCAAACATCCTGTAACGTGTTACTTTTTCCTGAATTGTTTCGAAGGAACACTAGAGATTCGATAGCTATAGAATGTTCCTTTGTTGACCTGTTCATGTACTCAGACCTCTCTCTCCCAACCCCTTCCTCCTCCACCCAACCCCACCCCAACTCCCCATCTTTCCTTTTTAGTAGTGCCGCTATCAGTCTCCTAGATTCGGACATACGACTGTGATGTAAATCAAGCCACTCATTAACAGTACTGTTGAGACTATGTTGTGGTCGTCTGAATACATGGTTCATGCAATGGTTCAGCAATTCATGAATATCCTTCGACATATCGACGATAATACCCACACAAATTTTGTAGTCCAAGAAATGAGCGTAATTCTTTTTCAGCGGTTGGTGTTTTCCATTCCGAAATTGTTCTTTAAAATGAACTTTAAAACTATCTTTTTAAAATTATGCACACGCAGGCAATCATCCGAAATAGCTAACTTTAAATGTCATTAAAACTAATAAGTAAAACATAACCTTAGGAAAGATGAAAATATCACAAGTTTCACATGTACTGCATATACATGTATTACGATCCTGAAATCGATAAGAGGGCTATACACAACGTTACACTGAATCTATGTTTTATCACGACATTGGGACAACCACAAATGATACTGAATAATTTATCATTTTCTGGGTTTATCATACCGTTAATAAACTTGATGTCAACTCCTTATATTTTCGAACTTCCTATAAATGATGACCAATCAGCGGAATCTGGCCTTTGGAATGACGGATTTTCGGAATACTGGTCGATGTAAACAGCCTACTAATGGTGGCCTTCGCTTGCTAATTGGTGTTTTCTGCTTCACACCGAACACGGATCATTCTGGTGTCGGTATGATAGGCAGTAGGGACGCAGTGGCGGTTTGCTTGCAACATGACGGCCTCTTCAATCAGACAGAAGGTTAAAATTTAATCCCATAGTTTTAGACCATTCATAATATACCACAGCTATATGTCTTGGTTGACAAAAGGTCATTAATGGCAGACTTTGTGGAAAAAATCAAACTACGTGTACATCAAAACAAAAGTCCATGGCCTTTAACGGTTACCTGACAATCAACGAATGGATGGAAAACCACAGAATCTGTTGATGGTTGTCTGACAAATCAAGATTTAAACATTCCTTGAAAATATCAGAAACTCATAAATTTTAGGCTCTGTTCATGAAAAACAGTTGCAGTTTTGATCAGCCTGAAAAATAACAAGTTATCTCTTTCTTTTCTTTAACAAATCAAACTCCAAATATTTTTTCTTGTGGTGTGAATGAAACATCAATAGTTCAGACTATTTGTTCAAAGCGAAAATATATATAGATTTGGTCTGGGCCATCTCAGGACCATTTCATGCATGTTCAATATCATTCCCACTGCCTGATAATGTTTCAGATCAAATTTGGTCCTTTTTGGTTTTTGTTTAACTTCCCCACTTTGGACCTTGTCCCAAAATCCCTGAATTTAGGGAATGATTCCACTCCTCATTGATGTTTCAGACCAAATTTGTTTGAAATCCATTCAAACGTTAAGGAAGAGTAGCTAGTGTTTTGAAACAAAATATTGTCCAACTACCCATTTGGGGCCCCATCCCCAGATGCCTAGGGGATGAATCAACACCAACCCTAATGATGTTTCAGACCAAATTTGGTTGAATTCCGCCGAGGCATCAAGCAGACGTAGTGTTTTAAAGGAAAATTTTAAGGAGAACAGCACAGGGTACATGACAATGTTTGATGCACGATAGCAATACGTCATCTTGAAACTTTGAGTCAGATGATCCAAAAAACTGATCCAGTTTCAGAGTCATAATTCAAATTAAAAGTTAACCAAATTGAACCACACAGAAAGTTGACATTCACATGCACGTTATGGTACAAAATACCAAATTCCCCTTTATCCTTCATCAATGAGTTAATAATTGAAACCAAATCATGATGGAATGACCACAAGTCCAGGGCAACACCTTATCTTCAACCATTCTATGGTGGGGTTTGGGGCATAAAAATACAGGTGTTTTCAAAGAATATGAAATAAAAAGTTGGTTTCAAATTGAAAAATAATGTTTAAATTTTATTCAACAACAACAAAACAAATCTAAAAGAGTAGCATATCAATAGGGCTATTCAATGTAAAACATCTATCCAACTTCAGAACTCCATGTTTAGGGGTACCACTGGGAGAATTTACTTCATATTTGCTTGAAAGTTCAAAACATGGATGGCAGTAATTTAACTTGGATACACTGGTGTTAAGTAGATGTTGAACTAAAAAAGCCCTTTAATGGATGTTTTAACTACATCATCAACTTAATAATCACATGACACAGAGGTTACTGTCCCACATTTACCACTCTCTAGAGATAGATCATATACTAAATGCAACATTGTTCGTGTCAGCTTCCAAACATGTGCTGAGATTTGGCAGACCAGACAACATTGACAGGAACATAAGAAGAATCCAATCGATTTAGACATTGTAAATGTATATACATTTATATCACATTTCACTGTTTGCAATATTTAAAAGAAATCAGTGGTAGTAGATAAAATTCAACTATTTGCTTAGTTATTATTCACAAACAATAAATACGACTTGTATACATTTGTTATGGTACATTTCAACTCCTCAATTTGGCATTCAAAACATTTACACAAAAATGATTAGAGAATATATATGGAAATGAAATGATTTGCAATTATTTTCAGATAACTTCTGTATCTGATTCACTCTTAAGCAATGATGAAATGTTATCATAAATATAATAAAAGCAATAGGTAAAAATATTAGGACAAAGTATATTATAATAAATATCACTTGGATGTTTACTTTTTGCAGGGCACTACACGTCTATTATAACTAAAAACAAACATATACGACAGAACAGAAAAACATTAAAGACAACAGATTCAATATACAAAACACTTAAACAGAACAGACGTTTCATCATATCACTCAGGTCTGTAAACCAGCATCATATATCTATACAGTAATATACCCACACATACCCATTATTACATTATTACCAACATATATATAAATACATTGTCCAACTTCGAGTCAGAATCTGTATGTTGGCCTATGCCACTGGCCCAATTGCAGGATAGCTATGACAACAGCACAATGACCTGTCATGTGGCACCTTTACTTCAGGTAAATAGTGGCCACTTATGATCACAGGGGAATCAGTGTGTGATACAAATATAGTATAAGGAGCTTTAATCAGGCATTTAGAGAGATATCCAGTTTATTGTGAAATATGTAACTCAACAAAGAGAGAGTAGATGCTATAATTGATAAACAATGAATAGCTGTGGAAGACATGATGCAAGGGAACTACCCAATATGAATATCTCATGTAAAGTTCTATGTGACAGGTCATTCTGGCCTATCACTACATCTATTAAAGTATAATTGTTAATTAAACGTAAAATCAATAGGATATGTCAATCCATCTATTTTCTAATATATGAAGTCAAACTTCATACATTTTATCAAACACTAGTCGAAGTTTTTTAAAAACTAAGCAGACTATAACTTTATGTTATCTGTGTTTATCTAGATCTGTACAGGAGACCACTTTCTGCTTCTAGTGTAATGATCTAAGCAAGATTCTCAGACAATACATATATTAACTGGCAGTAATTTTTTCCACTACTGATCAAAAATATGTTATTTAACATTTTATAGATAATGCCTCAATCTGAAAACACTTTATATCATAAACAAGGAACAGAAATAGATCAAGGGAATAGTATCACAATCATATGTTGACCCTTTCACATTCATACTTCTCCAAAATTCTGAATCCATAAATTTATTCACAAAATGACACAAAAATATTAATCAGAATATGGAGATGAAATTGGATTTCAATCACTATTCTGAAGATTACAATACTTCTTTCAAAAGGTGTCTTCTATTATCAAAAGTTACCTGATCAAAATTTGACGGGTATCTTTTTCAAAATTTAAAATTTGATCAGTAAATAAAAGTTAAAATTTTACCTTATTTCAGTTCACAATGACCATGATTCTAACCACATAACTTCTATTACTTCATTGCCATTTAGATCTGCAGCCTAAGTATATCTATATTGACATTCTTAACACATATCATCAAGTATCACAGAAAGAATTAAATTTCTACAAATTTTGTGAGCTTAAAAAACACTGTTAAAAATCACACCTTTAACACACTGGCTTCCCTGAAATGACACGCTTCAGAAGTAGTGTAACTATGCATTCTATTGCTTATTAATAGACAGTGAGAAAGTTTACAAGACTTCTTGGGTTACTTATTGCAAAATATAAGGAGCTATAGCAAGGCAAGTTGAAAGGCTTCAACAGATTAGCATATCCTTTCATGGAGTTTAAAAGCTGAAGGACAGACTCCTATAAAAAGTTGCCAACGACTTCATCTGCTATCAACTGTTCCTGATCCAACTGTTGTCTCAGTCATGTAAATTGAAGTCAATATGTTCCATCAGCTGAACTGGTTCAGGCAGTGATCGAAAGGTGTTCCTTCTAACTCTTCATTATCACCAGTTTTCACTTCACTTTCTAATCCTTTACCCCCACAGAGACAAGATTGCCATTTGCTTCATCAGCATTGGTATTGTGACCATTTGTTTTTGAATGTGATATTGTGATTAAAATCCTTTTAAGGGAATCACAGTTTTGTTTTTCATTGGAGAGTTTCATGGAGCAGAAGGAAGAAGTGGACATTCCCAAAACTACTGCTAATATAGCAAGCTTCATAATTCGTCTTTCTGTAGTCTTGGTGAACGAGTCGTTTGCCTTTGGAGTAAAATACACATATTGTATAGATTGACAATTAATGGTGGCCATCTTGAAATTAATTTTCATTTAAAATGTAGTAGATTTCAATATAACCAGGATAAATCCTTATTATTTGTAATATTTTTCAATGATATATCATTGAAAAATAAATAATTCATCATAGATTGAGAGAATATGTTCTGTACCATTGTATTAAAAGCAGTTGTGACTCACACAATAAAATTACATAAGAATGTTATCAGGTATTATCTTGAAATAAATTCTACGTGCACAGCCAATATATTCAGTTCAAATTTTGAAAATTATTATTTTACTTCAACATGATGTTTAATACTACATGTACCATTAATGTCAAGCTCGCTATGTGAGCCGTCTCACCTAAATCAAGTTTCCAGCCAGGTTTTGTTAGTGGTTTGTTGAAGTTCCTTTCCCTTCTTCCAATATATTAAACAGAAATAAAAACTAGGTTTTCATAATAAACAGCAGACAACTTACTTGGGATGGAAGTAGTGGGCTGCAAGAGCGAGAAAAGGCCCTCTGAGTGCTTGTTATCGCTGTTCTGAAAGCTGCCATTTTAAGCCACAGTGATCCCCCTTTAATTTAGGCTAATGTGTCTGTAAGTAAGAAAGTCAAATTTTTAACAAATAGAACATAAATAAACATTTCTGAAAAAGCATGGAAGGAAGAACGATTTCTATGGTAACAGCCAATAAGACATAGCAGGCATCTCTCTATATATATCAAATGAAGAAATTTCCTTGAAAATAGCCAGCACATCCTTTTCTGCTGGCATCTGTCTGTATCCCAGTGCTTAACCCGAGAAAGCATACACATCCATTAAACATCGGCATGAATGAAATCCACCTGTTTGAATCAGGAAAGAGACCTGCATCAAATCAAGCCGTACTTTCACTCTTGATCTTATATATACTGAAGGAATGCGCTCCTAACTTCAACTACAGCACATGCCTAATTAAGTTTACTGCATACAGATTGGAGGTGTCACACACAAGTATGCAAGTCAACCTATAAATTCCTTCATTTTTTTTCTAGAAGTGGAAGGGTTATTGTAGCTAATCCTAAGAAAGATAAGGTATCAACTCTGCCATTTCAACTTTATTCCAGCTAATATTCAGTCCCAAGTGTCTGAGAATAGGGATAAAAAAATGCAAGTTAACAAAATCTTTTGCATAGTTGAAAAAACATCTTCAACCGCATGGGAATCATCTAAGCAATAACTGTCCCATTCCATAGAAACTTCATGATGCTACACTAATGAGCTGAAATGTTGAATAATCCAAAGGTTTCCAGGATGGCAGCAAGATAATTTTCTATCATATGTATAAGAAGCCAAAGAGTTCCTAATAAATGACCATACAAGTATAAAGTGGAATGCACCTAGCACGGGGGAAAATACTGCTAAAATTCTATTTGCAAGTTAATAACACACTAAAGTGTCCACCAGGAACAGAGCATACTGTCAACCATTCCACAGGTAAGTCACAAACTGAATAACGGTACCATGACCATCATTTTGATACCTGACTCATCTGCTGAAAGGCTATAATAGTAGTAGCCCAAAAATTTCTGTTTCTGAAAGGATAATGCTATATTTCAGCCAATCTACCTACCAAAAACAGTCTCGATATTGTTCTGTCAGCCTATTCTTGGTGGTGACAAACTGTTATTAGTATCACTGGTAGTGGTGGTGCAGTAGAGTTTATTGGTCAAAGTGGAGGGGTAAGAAAAAAAGTGAGGCAAATAAACTTGTTCTGTTTTTAAATGAACCGTGATTTCTAGGTACATTGCAGGAATAATTGTTTAATTCACTGCATCCATCATGGATGCATTTCTAACTCTTTTATGAACATGTTTGTTCCCATCTCTAAAATAAGCATGGTCATTGAAAATGTAAATATCAATAACGGCATACTAAACATGAATATGTCGGTTTAAAACAGAACATGTACAACATGTTAAACAAATAACTAAGTTACTAGATAAATGATGCCTGGGATGGAGAAGGACTAGCAATGCATAGATCTTTTGGTTTCTGTAGATTTGCATACATTCAGATAATAACTAAGCTTCAGCATGATCACGAACTGCGAGAGTATTTTCATTCCTCTGAGAGTGCAGGCATTGTAACATCTCGGGTTCTTCTTTTTGATGCAATAATTTAAAGAGTTGTATGGATTTATATTCCAAATGAGCCTACCTTTGAGTGTAGCTATTTGATTATTAAAAGCAGTACCTATCACTCATATGCGGCACTGTATATCTAGTCCCAATTTGCAAGGTACACAACCTGTTACAGACATTCACATTGCATTGCCATGCCTTACAGATCCTAGCTATAATCTATCTGCAGTACAAATAATTACGAAATATAGCTATACCATTTCTTCAATGACAAAAAAAAATCATTGAAAGTAGGTCTACTACAATCACTTATAGTATACATTACCATCGGCAGCTAACAACTTCCCCGTTACATTGACCTTGCTGCTTCCTTCGAACACACGTTTGGGAGCACATGAGTCAGTGACCTTGACCGTTCAATCTTACACAATACAAATGTTCAATTATTTCCATAATTTCAATTATCTATACGTGGTTGATATATATTTTAAGATCATTATCTCATTTGTTCATCAATTGTGAATTTGTTGCTGATCTAAAATAAAATCCGTCATTTGCCGGTTCTAACCGAAATGTCCCGACTTTGAAAATATGGCGATCAGTCTCTTGTAAACGTTTGTAATCAATGTCATGGACTTAGTCGTCCTGCAGGCAGAAATGCTTTGAATATTTACTACTTTATAGTGGATGTAACAGACTTGAATGGAAGATAAATGGGTAAGTTATGAATTATATAAATAATAAGAAATCGGAGAGATTTTTACTCGACCCAGCTTTATGCGTGAAACAGTCGTAACTTTAGTTACTAGCAAGCTAAGTCTCTAAGATTGCTACCGATCGCTGGTAAGTCTTGACAGTAAACTGTGAGTCATGAATCAACGCAGCCGTGCAAAAGCGGGATAACCCGCGATTCTATATTTAAGGAATACAATGTTCCCAAACACGATATCATTAACTAACCCTTTATTCTTTAATTTTGTAAGAAATATAGGACACGGGTTTATGAATTATCGGACTTGCTAGGAATGCAGGGTAACATCATTCCCCCCTTCCCCTCTAAAACCGTCCCCCATCGGCTAAGCATATAATTACGACATTTTATCACAATTTTATGTGGCTTCCAAAATCATAATAACCGATTGAAATATATTGTGTGGTCATCATTTTTATCATAGAAACAAAAAGGCACTGCGATATTAAAATCACTTGGTGATAACTTCGCTAGTAAGTGGCATTTACATTGTCAAATAATACCGTTTTTCTGTTTGATGAGATATTATATTTATTTGACATCTTGCAATTATTATTTAAAATCAAAATGATGGAAATATACCGACAGAGTATTTCACTGTACCAACCATAAAGTATATAAACAAAAAAATATCAGGTAGGGTTATTGTGGATTTGATGATGGTTCCAGGATTGTATTTTGTGAGAACATGTTTTTGTAAACTGTCAGTATTGTACTGGTATTTTTTTTTCATTGAACTACACATCTAGGGCAAGAACAGTTTTCATCCTTAACAATAGCATGCAATTCACTTCTTCAACTGGATATTAAGTGATCTGATTTAACTAGTTTCATTGAGATGGAATAAAGTTGAAATGTAAATGTAACCTTTTAATGTTTTATAACAGCTGTTTCTAATGATGGGATGTATATATGTTGTCATGTTGTATACCAGCTCTTCGAAAGTAATCTTGTAAAAAATGTAAGTGATGTAAAATGTAGCTTCAGTTTGATCAAATGATTCAAGAAGATGATTGAATTTTTTTAATATGAATTCTTGTTGATATGAACAATTCATCACAACTTAGTATACATTTATGTATTGGTATGAGGGTATCAAAAGGGCTTTGATTGTCTCTTACTTAGACACTTACAATTTCTTGAGGCGAAGTTGAAATAGTTTGCATCAACTGTGGCAATGAAACTGCTATTTCTTTCATACCCATACAATAATTGTTTTAGTATACCTACCTCATAGCATGTTCAATGTTTCCCTGTATGCAGAAAGTACAAAACAAATGATAGTGAAGTGAAATAGATTTTATTGGCAAGCTGACATGAAATTGATTTTACCAATTGATATTTTCAATGCTGTTATGAAAATTGAAAATGCCAATGCAAGTTAATTTAGATGATTATAATCATGGACATTTTTACTTTAAAGAATAAAAATTTCCATCAACCTTTCTTGTTGTCAAATGTTCTACTCATATATTTCCATAATTTTGAGCAGCTGTTACAGCTGTCAAATTTGTTTACAAACTACAAACATCTACTTTGCAATTGATGTGGTTTAATTGATAACATAACATCAAAGTGACATGTGTAAAAAAAAAACCAGCAATAATTTCAATGCAGGTAAATAGTTTATTTTCTGCTAAATAACAGTTGACTATTTACCTGGGTACTAGTTCTGTCAGCATATATGATCAGAATAGCAAATGTATTCTTTACTGCCTATAAATTAATAGCGAAATCAATAGGGTATAGTAAGAAAAAATGTTTTTGAAAAAAGAACAAAACAAAAATTATCTATAAATCTTGTCTGGAGCTCTTTCAAGTGTAAAGCAATGTTTGTCACCAGATTATTAAAAGTAAAAAGTTTCTCACTTTAAACAAACGTGTTACAGTACTGTTCTGGCTTTATGTCATTGTTTTAATAATCATCAGGCATAACTGTAGGCATAGTAGTACTACTATAGATATATAGCTGACAAAATTCCAATATCAATTCTCTAAGAAAAGTTAAAGACATATCTTGACTCAATAGATTTGAGACCTGTATATATACTATTGTGGTTTCAAATTAATCACCAAAGTGAATTTTGGCTTCATGAATACATCTATGGTTGTCCAACAAATTGTCTTTAAATACCATAACTTTACAAAGCTCACCTTTTTTTTTACCAAAGTGAAGAAATAGATTACAAATTATTACTCAATGAATTGATTGTACAGTGTGATTGTAATGAAAACATTGACTTACATTTATAATTAATGTACATAGTGATACTGATAAGTTTAACCTTAGACTTAAAGATGTTTCATTTACTGCAGATTTCAGCAAAGGTAGAAGTGTAAATTTCAAGGATTACAGTCCACAATAGAAAGTATTATTAAGATTTAGTATAATATTATTTTAATTGTTCAAGTAAGTAATTACAGTACAAAATCAGACTTTGTACATGCATTATTTCAAGAACAAAGTTCCAGTATGCATATTTTTCATCAGATGATTATTTGGCAATTGCCATGACAATGAAAATGTTGATGTATGTCAATAAATCATGTTTGTATTAATACTAGGTGTATTCTATGTAAGGCTGCAGTAAATGTGTGATTGTAAATTTATACTACGTAGAGTTACTGTTTTTTTTTCAGGATTTGCCAACCAAGAGCATTGAGTGTAAGATCCTACAGATCTAAAAAAACTTAGAAGCCACAAGCTTTCTGTAGTGTATATAGCAATATACTCCAGGAAGATTAATTGACAAGCAGCCACAGGTGGAAATTGACAGCTGGCCGCAGACATAATACCACCCATACCTGTCAATCCCATTCAGACAGCAGGAAGTGGTGGTTACACCTCACTGATCAACAATATCTGGTGTTTGTGGTGTTTAAAATCTTCAGAATTTGAATTTGTAAGTACCTTGTAGTTGTTGTTTACACATTTACTTACACATACATATAGGTTTAGAAGTGTTTGTACACACGTGAATGTTGAAACAAAACAGAAGTTTGATACTGATACACTGTAATTTTAACATTTGGTATTTTATGACATGAATGCCTTGTCATTCAATTAATACCCATTAAGTATTTTTGCATGAACTCATATGGCTTTTTGTGATGTCAAAAAATGATAATTACATATGATATCACACAATGATGCATTTACCTACCTATACCTGAGAGTGATACATTAAACCAAGGACATATAATATAGTAGTAGGAAACCAAGCCGCCGGAGGCTGATCACAGGCATAAGTTTGTGTTTGTTTACTGAGCTATGACGTCCTCATCAAAGTCCTGTCTCCTTTAATTAGTTAATTTAATTTACCTGTGCTCCATTAATTTCTCTAGTTTATGTTGGCTTCGATTTATACATAATTAACACTGACCTGTCTTAGCAAAGCCATTTTGTCAGCCAGTCAAAAATAAAACTCATTTTTATAGATTGTATAGAAAAATAATACTAATAAATTAAAGTGACATCAGTATATGAAAAATATTTCAGTCAAATAGAAAATTTCCTGAGTTTTTTAAGGCATGAATGATTTTCTTCCAATTTTTTGTTGAGAAGGATATAAAATATAGGTTGATAAGTCAGTTGTAAATAGATTAAACTTGCATTTTGCTTTGATATTCCAAAAAGTTAACCAAAATTATTTCTCACAAAAGTTTGCACCAATATTTTTTAAAATAGTCCAACTTTCTTCTGTTGTTAATATTTTTATGAAAAGATCAGTTATCTGTGACTATAAACCTTGCAAGGCTAATCATCACAGATTTCTTTGTTTTAATTTTACAAAGATATAGAGACAATCTCCTTTCCCCTCTACTACACATCCCTGATTAAACAGCATAAAAGGAATGACAACAAAATTTTATCTGTCATAAATACTATTTCCAGTATACAGATAATGGTTCATGTTTAAAACAAGGTCTTAATCTTGTATCATATTTGATTCTCAAAACTGATTACTAAGTGGTCACAAGTTATTAATTCAATATCATTATACATGTAGCGTGCTAGCAGCTCAATAATAAACTTCATACATGAGCATGTGCTTGAATGCTGTATAGCTGCATTTGCCAGACATTTGTATTGTGAAAACTACACAAATATTATGGTTATGCCTAACAGGAGGAGGGGAATGTTGGATGAGGTAAAATATTGTTTAAAGATCCATCATCGTTTGTGGAAAAGTCAACAATATAATCGTGAATAAAAATGATTTGATGTAAAAGCTGAAATATCCATGTGAGTGAGATAGGCCCATGGGTCTCTGAAGTTCTGGCATGATGTTATATGTGTTTTACTGTTTTGGTTACCCAGATTTGGTCAAGAGTAAATTTAAAGGACCCAATATTGTTTAAATTGGTTGCATATATGTTGACCCCACATGATCAGGGGGATAATAGGGTTAAACCTATTCATAACAAATTCAGTTAAGTTCTAATACTGGGCTGAAAGGATCATTTCTAAACTGGTTTCCCTTGTTGGTAGAGCCCAAAAGAGGAAATGAATTATCTATGAAATATTCATCGGATCCTATTGAAGTCAAATGCTCAACTCAAATGCTCTACTTAAATTTGCTCCCCTTTTTACTGAGAGGCAAACATATGGACAAATATTTGTAATACTATATTGCAAATGGGAAAAGAAGCCTGATGTATAAGTAAGCAAAGCAGCTACTCTAGCTGGAATATTTGTGTATTGTTCTTTTTTATTTTGAGTGATTTCTTTGCATTTTGAAGAACTCTTTTAAGGACCTCTATATATAAACATGTGATTTTCATTGGAATAAGATTAATTATAATGATGATATAGAAGATCTAGATCTCAAATATAATTTCCTACTCATAAATATTTCTTAGTTTTCATCCATTGTCCATTAACATAATTTTTATCCAATGATATCAATAAATCATAAACAGGTATTTAATGATGAGTCAGAATTCCCTTGTACAGTGAAGCTGATGTATGAACTCTTTTCTGTGTTTTCCCTGTGGGGAACCTGGGCAGATATTTTCCTACCTGGTGTGTGGATAACCGGTTTGTGAGAATTATTGATCTTTTCTCACCTATACAACGATTTTACTTACACATAAGTCAGATCCTATGTTGATCATGGCTCTGCATTGTGATGAAGTCCTGTACCTGTATGGATTTAACTTGACAGGTATTCGAGACGACAGAACTACTTAAAACATTAAGATTTTTCCAGTGAAGTATATATTTATACAGTACATATCTGATCTAAAGTATTTATACTTTGTGTTTATATATAAAAGTCTATATTTTTGAAGGGATTATATTTATTGGTAAATGTATTTGATGAATGGATAACTTTTTACAGATACAGATTTGTAAAATTGTCATATCTAGTTGTAAACAATATATTTACTAATATATACATATGAAAATAACATATACATATCATAGCACTAATATGTTAGGGACTAAGTGTATAAATATATGGTATTTATTTGCAGAATGTGTTATAATTTTATTGCGTACAGGCCATGTGTTACTAACTTATTTGTATCGTAAATAGAAGATCATTAATAATATATATATATATTATATGGTTAAAATTTAACTGTTAGTTCACCAGCTATACTGTTATTTCTTGTTATTGATTATAGTCTGGTGGAAAGTTATCTTCTAACATTAGGACAAGCTATGGCAGGAACACACGGGTAAGACACAGCACTGTAGTCTACCACCCTTTTTTTTCTCTTATCTAAAAACGCACACAATTAGTTTTATGAAATATCATAATGAATAAGGATGACCAGAATTCAGTTTGGTTTATAATTTTTGTTTATGCAGCACTTTAATATTGATCTAGGCCAAGTACGCCAGACAGCTAATACACAAGACAGTAGATGTCTATGTACAGTAAGTAGAGGATATGTATTGGTTCTAAGTCTGGTATGTAACAGATTAGACTGAAGCACTTTGCTGGTATCCCTCTGTGATAATAAGCTGTTGGTTTGAAAGTTAATGAGGTTTAGTTTGAGCCCTTTTCTAAAACTGACTTTAGTTCTAAATGCCAGAAAGTTACACCCTATAAATGTTTGTGTGGCACTTCTCCTGAAACAGACTATAACTGGTTGCTGAGCTTGGAAACATCAGCCCTGGTGCTAAGTGCCTATAGGATGTATACATACATGAATATACTGGAAAATTACCTCTGTAGCTATCCACATCCTTACCTCTGTATATTCTCATCAGTCATTTCATAAAATTAGTGAGATGAGTGGAATAGTAGACAGCCGATGATTTGGGAAGATACCAAGTACCTTTACAACAGCTTAAGTTATTCCAGTGGATTTCCAGGGAAAGGAGTGCTGTTTGTCCTTGGACTAGATTTACCTGTGTGAGATACAGATCTTCAAAGTCTTGTTGTGTGTTACAGATTCTAATGGCGGATTAGACACTTTGGAATGTAAAAGGAAGATTTTCAAAAATGATTTTACAGCATGTGCAATATATTGAAATATTGTGTACCTGTGTTAGGTATTTAGTAAATAGATGTGTGAGATAACCCTGATGTGATGTACAATCAATATGTATCTATATTATCTTCATTGCCTGAAGATACCCAGTACACGACTCGAAAATATTAGTGATAATTAGTTTTATTTGCTGCATTGATTCTTAAATGTTTACATATATATGTATATCTATGTACATATGTACTTCGAAGTGTGTATAAGTTGACAAATGATCAATTCAATTAATAACTGACATACACTTCTTAGATGTTCCACATGGAACTCTGGTTATGTAGATCATAAGATAGCCATTACAGTGTACAATGTACTGATGGATGTGTGTTTGTGACTTACAGTGAGATATGTATTGTGTAGAAATACAAGACTGGCCTGAATAGACATCAAAGTAAACAAGTAATTTGATTAAGTAATCTTGATTATTCCTGGAGTTTGACATCAACATGTACAGGTTGATCAGGGGATGGTTAAAATGGAGCAGTCTTAATGATGGGAACATGGAAGATAATGGACAGCAGGTATCATTGTCTTTTTGAAAACAGTTGGTTTTAATTTGATTGGTTTCACATGACATGTAATTAGTTTACCTGTGATTATATATAATTTATGTTTGATTAGTTTATCTGTGAAGTGAATCACAGGAGCCATATAGGTATGAGTAAGTCATCCTGTTCTTTTGTAACATGCTCCTGGTATAGAAACTTCAAAACGAAGGAGCCAACGTCAGGTATATATATATTCCTATGCTCCTGGTGTGTGACATTTATTGTACTTGTTATTTGTGAAGTAAACCTACCCCACCCCTTTAAATGAACACTTTGATATTATGTAAATTACAAAAATTAATACATCAATTTCATTGTTGATGTACTTTGAAGCCAGCTGTAATCTGTACTACATGTACAGATATCACTGTAAGATGTACCATATTCCTATCCCTATGTAAGTTTCCATGTGTAATTTACTACATATTACACCACCATTGTACAGTGGTAAGTTAAAAATATATTCTTGTAATATTTGATACAGATATATAGGGAAAATATTAGGAGACAATGCTGATCACAATGGTGAATAAAAAACAAACCTAGATGTGAATCAAATAGTGTACAGTTTTACTGTTATTTTGGAAGAATACATTTGCAAAAATATCCTGTCTCTTTTTAGAGTGAAAAAAGTGAATGCATTCGTGAATGTTTTATCCAGATAGCTTCACGCAGCACAACTCAATTTATCATATATAGCTAGCTGACTTTGATCAATAGGATGCCTATGGTAAGTTTAAGCTAGATTCATTGTCTGGTAAACAAAAATGTTTTAATGGCATCCTAAGCAATTTACAGATGTAGTTGCTTAAAAGGAACTCTGTCTCCATGCGGTCAAGATACATTGGATTGTAATTAAAGAAATTTGAATAAGAAGTAAAGCTTGATATTTAACTTTACATAATTTATCATGAGGTAAAAATATATAAGCATGAGGGACTTGTAGTAAGATTACTAAAGTTAGGGTTTCTATCAACCACAAAATATCAAACTTGTGGTTATATTTTCGAAATTCAATGCACTTTCAGTGGACATCATTAAAATGATAGAATACATGAAGTGAATGTTAACTTACAGAATCCGTTAGGATCTTTGAACTTCACAAAACCATTTGACATTACAGACTAGCTAGAATTCGCTGTATTTCTATTTTTCTGAAAATGACACTGGAATTAGTGTCATTATTGACATATGGTATTTTAAAGTCATAGTGCACAATGGAACCAATCAAAGCACTGTGAACCAGAGGATATATTTCGAGAGTGTACATTGGGCATGTGATGTTGTAGAAGTTCGATTTATTTAATTAACTTTTTCTAAAATTGTAGATAATTTGAAACATTTATTTTATAAAGCCTTTATTATTACCTTGTTTCTGAATCAATAAATCACCTTTAACATGATCAATGTATTTCTGGTAATTTTCAGTTACATTACATTTTTAATCATATACATGTATATATATTATTGTGTTCTGATGTAATTCTCTAATGCTATCTGCATCTATTTTGGATGAGGTGTCTCGCAATATACACATATAATCCAGCTGGTACAAGAATAGCCTATTTTTATAGTTATATTTGTATATTGGAGAGATACCAATCAAGTCTGCCTCAAAATTCCACACGAATCCACATACCTATAGCTTTACATATACATGTACTTTTATGCGTTTTTTTTCTCTAGTGTGTCCAGTCACATACTTCTACACATGTTACTCTTGCCAATATCTATATACTGCACACATGTTCTCTTTGTAACATCTTGTTCTAAAGAGAATGCTGTTAAAGAATTCTTAACCATGCAGAATAATATAAAGGCTGCAGGTTTTTATAATCACCTTTCTGTATTGTCACATTTTCACATGATTCTCACATACAGATCATCAAATTACCTTTAAAGAATTATACTTCGGTGTCTAACTTAAATTTCATATGTAACCTGTCACTGGTTCCTAATCTTTAATATGGAAACTTGTTTGAAGTACAAGATGGCTGTTAAACATTCATCTAGGATTTTGGCTTTGATTTCATTACATGGAATTGAATTTCTTGTTTTTATTTTCTACTGTTGCTTATAATTATTATTTTGCAGTTTATGTTTTCATTCCATTTTTGTTTTCTGTTTTTTGAAGATTACTGAAAGGCCATCATGGATCTCATGGAAAATAGACACTACACATTGATAATTTGGCCAACTGGTTGAAAATGGATACACTTGCTCCTCAGTCAGTATTAGATAGTAGAAACACTGAACGCCCCCCCGTCTCGTGGCGGGTAACTCCTGACCGTCTCACCAGAGCTGCAAGTCCAGGCCGCTTGACAAAGCGTCCGTCAAATGAGGACCTAGAAGAAGTTTTATTATCAAGAATTGATCAACCCTATCGGACAAGTTTCAGTGCTGTAACAACTCCAATCAAAAGTAAACGACAGAGAAGTCGATCAACTAGTCCAGGTGCTTCTAGTATGAAATCAGAGAAATCGTCTAAGTCAAATAGAGGTGCAAAACATGTGACATACAATGCTAATGTGACTGTCAGACATTCAGACTCTTTTGAAAATCAGGATTTTTTACAAAGTAGGGTAGAATTTGTGGGAAGTGATCAAGAAGTTTCAGAGAAAAAATCATATTCAGACAATATGGCTGATTCTTCTCCTACACAGAATGAGCAAGACAGAAATGTAATGCTGAAAAAGGAAGGAAATAAAGAGGATTATTCCTCTCAAATACATGAAGTGACTCAGATGATTGTAAATGAATATTCTAAAGACATGCCAAAAAGTGAGAATGAAGCGAATACCACCTCCACTCCAGCACCAAAGGTGTATCGTACTAAACCCCCTCTCCCAGGGAAGGGCAGGGGACGTGGTACGCCAAATGGAAGGCCTCCTCTCCATCCCTCAGATGTTGGACCTCGAAATATAGTAGCATGGGAATATGAACATGACCGTACAGTAAATTACAGGAAAGCAATGTCAAATCACTACACAGAAGACAAAAAATTTGCAATAGAACCTCACAGGATCCCGCAAGGAGACAAAGCAGATCATTCTACTAGGTCTAATAAGGATCATCCTGTTGGTCATGAGCAAAGAATGAACCATCCCGCCGACATACAACCTAGAATGGAACGATCCAGCTCCATGCCATTACAACCAAAGGAGGAAACAAATCGCCTCTCTCCCCCAAAGAAGACTGTAAGTGGCAGCATAGGAAACTTCTTCCGTAGACTGTCCCCGAGACTTGGTAGGAAAAGTAAAAAAGATCGCAGTAATGAATCCATGTCAACATTGTCAGATAGTGGACATGGGGGCTGTGCATCAGATGAAAATTTGTCAAGAAGCAAATTCAGACAGTCTTTTAAGAAATTTCTTGGCCGTGGTTCACCAAAATCGAAAGGCAAATCGTATCGTAAAGATGGATCCACTTCTTCACTTTCAAAGTCGGAAGTAGAATCATTAGACCATGAACCGAGATCACGACATATTCCTTCATCATCCAATAGAATGATGGAGTCAATTAAACAGAACTCTGACAGGGATAGAGATGTATATCAAAAATTTAAAGAAAAGCAATCTCCAAATCGTCCAATAGATGCACGGTTGCAGCACAAGCAGCAGCCTGTACGGGTTTCAGGGGAGGATACTCCCAACCCCTCACAGCAAACTGGCACTGGTGATTACAACCATTCACCATCTTCTCCAGACTGTCAGCTGACAGCTATTCCTGATATTGTGATGGATGTGACCCATGCTGCCCCAAGGTCTACCAACAACATGGCAACCTCTGATCTTTCACCTTCCACTGACCCTGAACTGAAAGCCTGTCAGGAAAAAATAGAAGGCAACATCTCACTCGGTGTAGATCTTACAGGTAGGTCAATGTTTTTACTTGTCATTATTAAAGCCAAATCAGTTTTGATGAAATTTAGTTGAATTATGGTAGATGCTATGAACAAAATGTATTTATTCATGAAGTTTTTAGTAAATTTTCGTGCTGAATTAAGACAAGGTCATGCAAATTTAAAATCTTTGCAGATTAATGTGGATCTTAAACTGTTTTTGGGAAATATGAAAATTATTCTTTTATTATAACAAAAATATTTATGAAATGCCAATATTATGGCAGTAATCATACAATTTTGTAACTTTTTTATACAGCAGTTGTTGTCATCAAATTTGGTTTATAAAATTTTTGAATGTGATTTCAAATCTTGGATCAAGATATAGTTGATGCATATATTTTACACATGTTTTGGTTATTCATGGAGAAGGGGAGATAACTCTCGTCAAGTTTTATGTTTGTTGACACATTTTTGATATTCAAAACTAATCAAAGTACATAGTGGCTATAAGACCTTTTTTTAATGAAAACTGGTAATAGACAGATACAAAACTTGATGTTCTTAGTATCAAAAGGAATATAAATCACTGCAAAAGTACTATCATCGTGGTAGACTCCAGAACATCAATGTAAAGGTTCTATTGTAAGGTACTCTGGATGGCAAATTTGCCAAATCTTATTTAATGTTTGAGATGACCAGTACCGGTGATATTTGATGGAAGAATTATTAAATTGACCCCAGTTATTTTACATGGGCCAGTTAGCCTGGTAATAAAATTGTCAGATGATGGTCAGGTGGCTGTCAGAAGAGACACCTGGTATGCTGATCTAGGTAAATAATTAGGTCATGTAGGTACATTGTACAGGTAGACACAAGTCGTACAGGAGGTGTGGTGTACATGTAGTGTTTACCTGTAGTATATAACATCAGTGTAGATTGCTCTTGATTATAGTCACAGGATTAATTGTTATCTGGGATTATATATTTATAGGTAAGTAGATTTGTCTGTATTGTTATAAAATGGACAAATATTTGATCATCCTGTAATTTTGTTAGCTTGTTTAAACTGTAGGTGACTTTTTCCACATTCTTACATATACAATGTATTTCATTATAGTTCCCTAAACAATAATCGTCTATCTGTTAATCAAACTTATTACCAATGTGTGTGATATGAAGAAAGGGACTGAACATGAATAATCACAAATCAATAGTTTGGTAGGACTATCTTTCTTTGGAAAGGTTACCAACTTGCAGCGGAAGTATAAATTCATCTACAATTCTTTTGGTTTTTATTAGATATATTTTCATTTCTTTGAAAAGTTTGGTATTTTCTAAATGATTTTGATATAGGTTTGATTTAAAGCATAGCCGTCCAGGGAATATAAATCTGTGTTAAAAACTGATTTGTAAGAAATAGGGATATTTATATAGGCAGTCTTAGTTATAACAGAATACGAATGCTTCCTGATGTGTATACAATCAGTTCTGACAATCAATATTATCATTAAGATGATGTGATAGTACTAATATGATAAGATCAATATAGTGGTATTGATACTCTAGGTAAAATGTAAAGGATACACAGGTATCAACATGTTTCTTAAAGGATGTAGACTTTCCCAATTCATGTGTGTAACTAATTCATTTATAATTACATGCATACATTATGTATGCCATTAAACGTTTAACTGTTCCAAAGGTGTGCTGGAAATTTAAAGGTAAACATAACGTTATTCAAATAAAATCCTTCCATATTTATTGGTGAATTTTCTGTTACTTAATGCACATGATAGTAAACTTCGATGTTATGTGTCCTGGTGTTACTTTGGTAGTAGTTCTGACAGAAGATGACAGGTGTTCCTGGAAGGGGATGGTGTCAGCTCAAACGTAGATCACAGATACTTACGTAGATACTGTGGTCCACCATTCATAATTACTGAAGCGTACTTATTCACAAAATGTTCACAGCGTAAAAGTCTGCCCCCTCAGTATTCAAAAAATTGTTTACGAATGTATGGGATCGTCTTTAACTGGATTAAAGTATAAACGTTTTCACTGAGTACAATTGTGAGTAATATTGCTCATGTCATAGCCAGATTACTCATATATACATCCCAGAATAATCAATTAAAGAAGTATGTACAGGTATAGGATATAATTAATCATCAGGTCAGGGACAGGACACTTTTCAGCTGATTAATTCTTTCATTATTCACATAAAAGCTGCTGTACATGTCTCCTGAAGAAATATGATACTGACAGAAAAGATAAAAAAAGATGAAATGTACATGTGAAAAAGTTGTAAACAATGATACAGGTGAAGTTCAGGTTACATGTGTTTGTTAAGTTAAAAACTCTTAAAACAGTAACTTGATGTAAAAAGCTTTGTTATCTTAATAGATTTTATTTATAATTTTTTCTAATCATTGGTAATCAATACAATTAGTTTGACTATACATGAATTGACAGTAAAAATCATTACCAGGGTAATTTACTCATTTTCAGATTACTCAGGAATTTGTTTTCATGAAAAAATTTTACCTGAAGGTGGTGTTCTTGTAATGAAGTTGTATTTATAATGAGCTTATTGAAATCCTGTTTAGTTTTCACATACAATTTCCACAAATGATGTTTTTAAGTCTAACTCCTGATAATTTAGTTTAGCTTTAATCAGGCTGTCTATCATAATTGATGATTTAATTCTTAAATACTTCCAAAAATTTATAAATTATTTTCCTTAATGTATATATTACTTATTTTGCAAATGCTTGCAAAAATTTATTCATGCCATTGACATGGACATTTAATGTTTTTAAATGAAAATGGGTCAAGTTTTTATTTAAATGTGAATTTAATAAAGGAACATAGATATATAAAATTGTCTGCCTATGCTGTGGGGACTTCCTCAGGTTATATGTGATTAATCAAAATTGTGATCTGACTTGTTTTATCTTAAGAATATCAGATATTTGTCATTTTACAGACAACATTGATTACAGCGTGTTGACATTTCTGACTTGCATGGTATCCACTTATTTTCTGATGAAATTTTACATCTAATGTGGTTATCTTACCAATACAAATAGGGAGAGAATGAGAGAGACTGGCATGTTATGACTATAAAATGATTATAGTTTTTTTTATGGTTTTATATTCGTTCAGTATGATGGATTTGTATATTTTCTAACTATGCATACATGACCAAGATGTCATTTTTTTCATTTCAAATATCGTTTGAAAAGATCTTCATGTTGAAGTGCAATTGAAATCTTTATATATAAAAATTAAGGCAATGAAATGAAAAAAATTATCTGTTTCATTTTGAACAATAAGTTAGGGTATAGCACTGTTATGATACCTGTATATTTTGTCATAGATGTGCAACATTCCCTGAGGCTTTTTAGGAGATCAGTCTAGATGTGAATTTTGCTTCAAAGAAAATAAATGAACTGCATATATATAGCTTAAGGGTATATTATGTCAGAACCTGATTGCTTCCCCTCAGGAACCTCAATATTCAAAGCTGTACCATGTGTGACAGATATCAATATGGAGGAATTTGTGCTATATTTAGCCAGGCTGGTAATAGTATGGCCATAGTATGGCAGTAGGTTTAGTCTGTCAGAGGACAGCAAAGCTACTGGTAATGTCTAAGGACTGACATGTATTAGAGAGCAGGCTAGCAGACCTACATTGGTACCAGCTGGGAGACACACATTCGTATGTGCATACACCAGAAGAAATCTAAACTTAACCTATGAATGAATTTGAAGTTGTGCTAGGAGGCAGTCTTATTATTCAGTGACGTTTTAATGACTCAACCGGCTTTAAATAACAGGAGTGCTTTATATCCTGGACAAAGTTTGTGTACTGTCACTTATCTTGCTGGTCAGTACTGAAGTAGCACCTTACAGGTGTACTTCAGGGGAAGAAAACAAAGGAAGGGTTAATGAGTACAAGTTCCAGGTATAGAATTAGACAGTGCACCTGTAAAACATCAGTATGTCATTGACAATATCTATGGAATGAATATTTAATTGGTGACTTTGATTGTATTTAAAACACACGTATAGTACCCTGATTATATTGGAAGTTTTAAATGTTTGACCAGTGAAAAAATTAAAGTACCTGTGGATTAGGTACTGCCGTGTCACTACATGTCCGAACCATTTTAAGTGAGGCCAACCAGCTGATTGTGCTCTGTCAATAACATTGGAACTTAGTGTCAAGTGACAGTGTGTGGGAACACAACAGTCAGCAAACAGTGGACTATTATAACATGAGGAGTTCTCTATAAAACCAATTCTATTGAGTTGTTAAAATACCAGATTGGAGTTTTTGATTTCTTTGAATGCAATTAACCCACAAAGAATGTTTGTTGGACTGGAATCTGTGGCCTGATCTCTTTCCGATGTGCCAAAGTGACAGTAAAAATACTGCAGTGTAATGTGATTTAAGTGTTCTATATACCTTGTATTGACATACTGTGGAAGGGATTTAAACCAGAATGATAACACAATAACTCCATCTATTGTATTTCAAGTTATGATATCTACACAGACATATTATTGTGTTCTGACAGCTACTAACACATGATCAGTGCTAAGATTTGTCAAAATCAACTCAATGACTGTCTGCAGATAACCTGTACATGGACCTACACTGCATCTGGGCTGCAGTATTAGTTAAGACATTAAAAGGTGTAAAAAGACCATAATAGAAGGATCCAGGATATCTAACAGAGATATAGTTTGGTGCGACCTTATTCCTGTAGTTGTGCACAGGCGAGGGATAAATCTGACTTGTAATGTTGTGTCATCGATCAATGCAAGCGTGTCCTCCAATTTCTTAAACAAAGCAGTTCAATTCTGAAACCTCGCAAGTCCCTCGACTGAAGCACTATATCAGCTGTGAAAAAGACTTACTGGAGCATTACTAGAGATTGCTATTACATAGGCAACAGAAATTTCATAGTTAAAAATTTTCAATATTTTAATACACAACATAATAGTGTGGAGACTGATGT